CACTGATCCTCATCCCAGCTGCTTCGCACTCAGCTGCGAACCGCTCTAGCAAGAGCTGTAGAACATAACTTGATGAAGCCAACAAGACCACATCATCTGCGAAAAACACAGATACAATCCTAAGGCTGTAGTGATACAGAATGTATCATGCGAGCATGCGCATGGTGTGGAGTTGCTACTACTAGTAAACGGCGGTAAACGTATGTCCTGGCTCCGGTCCATTTATTATATACTGTATCAAGTACATGGTACAACACATGGGGTCAGAACTTGACAACCTGCCTCCGATATGAGTACAGAAGCTTTAAAAAGCAAGTAAGAGAATTTTTCTTCCTGTTGGGCTTTACGCAAAGAAAAATACGTTTTGGGGTTCTCTCGAGCTGAACTCGACTTCATTCTGAGGTAGCCACAACCTGACGAAGACGTCGGAAGGTAAAACAAAATGGATTATTTGTTTTCGATAAGCCCGCCAGAGGCGTTTGACTTAAATGATTTTGCTGGATGGCAAAATTGGATCAGACATTTTGAAAGATTCTGCATAGCTGCAGGTCTCTATAAGAAGGATCAAGAGTACCAAGTTGATTCACTAATATACACTGTGGGAGAGACTCGGCAGATGACATGCTTAACACAATAACATTGGCAGAAACGGGCAAGAAAGAATACGAGAAAGTAAGAAACGCTTCTGAAAAACATTTAATCTGTAAACATAACGTGATATACGAGAGGGTTAAGTTTAACAAACGCTACCAGGAGCGTAAACCAGTCGAAGCATTTATCAAAGCCGTCCACAAGCTGGCTGAGCACTGTCAGTATGGAGTCCTCAAAGAGGAGATGATCAGAGACCGCCTTGACGTGGGTATCAGAGACCATGGGCTCTCAGAGAAGCTACAGCTTGACTCAAAGTTGCTACTTTGTGTAAAACTAAATCAGAGTGGACGAACTTTAGCAGAGTGAGATGAGTGAAAGAGTGGAAACTTAGTTTTTTGGGCACCACGACTACTGCACCTAGCACAGTGTGGAAGAAGTCAATTGGAGTAAATGGCCAGCAGATGGTGTTCAAGCTCGACACCGGCGCTGCAGTGACAGCCATCCCAAAACACATCTACTCTGAAAGCTGCATGGGAAACTTTCACCTCCAAATAAAAGACTGTGTGGACCTAGCAATGTTCCCAGTAGTAGAGCACTTCTCCGCCACTATGAGCTACAAGGGCTCTATAGTAAAATAGCAGGTGTATGTTGTTCCTAATTTAGCTACCTCACTCCTTAGCTTACCAGCCATACAAGACCTCAGCTTTCTTACTCAATTGGATGCCATTGCAACAGAGAATAGTTACGTGAAGCAATATCCCAGAGTGTTCACTGGTTTAGAGAAGCTAGAGGGAAAATACAATATTAAAATGAAAGAGAATGTGTCTTTCAACTTCCGAGTTAAAAGACAAGGAGCTTAAAAGAAAACAGTCTGAGGGATACAACACCCGACACAGAGAAAAGGAGAAGAAACCGCTCCAGCCAAGCCTGAGAGTCTGGATAATGAACGAAACACGCACTGTAGTAGTTTTCCGGATCAGCGGGGAAACCGAGGTCACATGTCGTTGACACTTCGAATGGCAACCTCAGAAGAAACCGCTCTCAATTGAGAGTTGTGCCTTCACCATCGACCAATCCAGATCTGGGGATACGAACCATAGTGGGCAGAGCGGTCAAGCCCATCAAAAGACTGAACTTGTAAAATAGTGTTGTGTGTATACACGGATCAGAATAAACCTCCATACCACAACAGAGAGGATCAGCTAGTCAACCCTGGCTCTCGGTTAAGTTCTTATGTGTTATGAGTTTGAATGTTGCAGTATTGTCTAGTTTTTTTTAAAAAGAGGAGTCAAGCATGAGATGAATAATGAGATGCAGAATGTGTACATTCAGAGTTTATTTTTAAGTTATTTTTAATCTTAAATCAATGTTACAATGGTACCCCCTTGTTAACTAAGATCAACAGTAAGTAAAATAAGTAAAAGTAAGTAAAAGTAAAAGCAGTATGTAAAATAATCATCTTGAAAATACATTTTGTAAACAGCTTGGAAACATTGATTTAAAAGAGGGAGATGTAGTGATAGTTGATGAAGCCAACAGGACCACATCATCTGCGAAAAACACAGATGCAATCCTAAGGCTGTAGGAATACAGAATGTATCATGCGCATTGTGTAGAGTTGCTACTACTAGTAAAAGGCGGTATACGTATGTCTTGGCTCTGGTCCATTTATTATATACCTTATCAAGTACACGGTACAACACAAAGGCCACGAAGACAGACACCTTCAACACCTTGGCTTCGCCTAGAAATTCTGTCCATAAAAGTTATGAACAGAATCGGGCAACCTCTCTCTCACCGGAAACAAGTCCGACGATGGGAACCAAGCTCTGACTCCAGTTGTACAGGGACCTAACAGCCTGTGACAAAGGGCCTGGTGACCGATATTCCCGGAGTACCCCCCATAGGATTCCCAAAGGGACACTGTCAAACACCTTCTCCAAGTCCAAAAACACATGTGGACTGGTTAGGCAAACTCCCATACACCCGCCACGACCCTGCTGAGGGTATAAATCTGGTCCAGCGTTCCACGGCCATGACGGAAACCACACAGCTCCTCCTGAATCTGAGGTTTGACTATCCGATGGACCCTCCACTCCAGAACCTGCGAACAGACCTTCCCAGGGAGAATTAAGAGTGTGATTCCCCAGTGGTTGGAACACTCTCCCCCTTTTTAAATAGGGAGACCACAACCCCAGTTTGCCAATCCAGCGGAACTGCCCCTTATGTCCAGTCGATATTGTCAGCCAATGCAACCCTACAACATCCTGAGCCCTGTGGAACTCCGGACGGATCTCATCCACCACCGGAGCCTTGCCACCGTGGAACCTTTTGACCACCATCGTGACTTCAGGCCCAGAGATTGGAGAGCCCGACACCAGATCCCCAGGCTCTGCTCCTCCAATAGAAGACGCCAGTGGGATTGAGAAGGTCGTGAGTTGGGGTTAACAGCACACCACCCCCACTGTAAACAGTATTGCTGGACCACTGCATCCGCCGGATGATGGACCAGAATTGCCTCAACAGAAGTCTTTTTCCACAGCCTCCCTGAACTCCTCCCATGCCCAATTCTTTACCTCAACAACCACCAGAGCCGCATGCCGCTTGGACTGCTGATACCATTCAGCTGCCTCCGGAGTCCCACAGGCCAAGAAGGCCCGATAGGACTTCTTCTTCAGCCTGACGGCATCACTCACTGCCGGTGTCCACCAGCGGGTGGCACCGACAACCCTGTGACCGCAGCTCTGGGAACCCGTGTGGACAATCGAGGTGCGGAACTTGGCCCACTCGGACTCAATGTCCCCCACCTCCCCCAGAACGTGATCGAAGCTCTCCTGGAGGTGGGAGTTAAAGCTCCGCCTAACGAGGGACTCCGCCAGGCGCTCTCAGCAGACCCTCACAATGCGTTTGCCTACCTGGTCACTGGCATCTTCCCCCACCTTGGGTGCAAACTCACCACCAGGTAGTGGTCATTGGAAATCTCTGCCCCCTTCTTCCCCCGAGTGTCCAAGAAAGAAAAAACATACAACCAGCTGTTTCGTCTGTACAAAAAAAAACAGTTTCTCGTGGGCAATCCGGACGGAGAACCTATAGGAGCTCCAGCAAATAGACGCAAGGAAGACTGTTATGGCCACTGCCGTATTCTGTGGGGGGGATTGACTTCCTCTCCATTTCATGAGGCCTGACTACAGCTCCCAAGGTTCCTGCAGTAACGAGCTGATGCCATAAATCTGCGAGGAGGCCATTCCACCAATCAGGAGCGGCCACACGCTAGATTTAAGGAGCCAGGAGTCAAGAACCCGTGGAGCATGTTGTTACGGTCCTGCTCCCATGCCTGTGTGTGTACACCTATGGAGGATATTGTTTTGGAATTGTGCTGTGGCACTTGAATTTAATTTGGACTGTTTTGAATAATTCCAGTTTTTGTGTGGTTGTTTGTACTGCCTTGGATCCTCTGGTTTGAGTGCAGTTGGTTTTGTGTTCTGTTTTGTTACTCTTTTTGGTATTTGATTGCTGCCTTTGTGTTCATTGGTTGAATCTTTCCTTTAGTTAATAAATAATTTTTTGTCATTACCAAAAACATCTGTGTTTTTTCTACATCCATTTTCCTTAAACAAGCTGGTAGTAAAAAAGACCCAAAAAAATAAAAACAAGCAAAAAAAGCCAACGGCAGCAACAACACTAGTAGCAAGGACACTAATGAGCATCTCAGATCTGTGCAGCAACTGTACAAAAGCTTGAAGTGTGTGTGTGTGTGTGTGTGTGTGTGTGTGTGTGTGTGTGTGTCCTTGTTGCTGCATCTGAGTGAGAACCATAACTAGTTTTGAACCAACAAAGTGTGGTCTTTTTGGAAAAGTGAGGACATTTTCCTGGTCCTAGCTTTATTGTGTGTGTGCGTTTGTGTGTGTGTAAACCCACAGCCCAGGTTTTTCCAGATTGTGCTCAGAAATTCCAATCTTTCAGTCAGGACCTTGAATGGTAAACTGACTGCATTTTCATTACATACCCAACAACTAACGGCAAAGTTGTCGTTGATGGGAAAGTGGTTTGCAATGTGGGGTTCTGCATCTTGCTCACTGACTCTTTGACAGATGGCCAATGGAACCGAACTGCTGAATTTTTGTCTTCTAAAATGTTGTGTCTGGACATCTGGTGTTGTAACACTTTTGCCCCAGGGCAAATCCTGTTTGGTGGCTCTTCTGCGTGGAGCTTGCTTTTCCCGTGTCTGTATGAGTTGTGTCTTAAACTCTCTGACTTCATCTCACTGTCCAAAGAAGTTAACCGGTGACTCTAAAATACTTGCAGCATTGACTGGTTCACTAGCCCTGTGACAAATTGCCAAAAAAAGGAAAAAACTACAAAACCAGGGCCATACTGAAATTTGAAAAGTAAGGGACACATACAGAAAGGCTTCACTCTGTTTATTTAATTGAAGATAGAATAAACCAAAACTAATTCAACACATTCACAAATATCCAAGCTGAAATTAGACTAATATTCATGATTTTCTCTCAATTTTCACTTCTATCAACAGTTATCAGCTGTTGGTTTAAAAAAAGGTTTCAACATACACACATATTATTTATTTCTAAGTGTGTGAAAGGGAGTCTAAATCTGTTTGAACTTTTTATGAAAAATCACCAATGTCCAATACTAACTGTGAATTAATGTTATGGCTTTTTAAATGACAGATAGATACAGAATTTACTGATGAAAATATGAAATTAAGAATAGTTAATCTCCTGATGACGAATGAAAAATGACAGTCTCAATGTTTTTATGCAATTTTGTCTTCTATTTGTGCTGTGCAGCCAACAAACTCTTCCTATTCAAAACATCTTTGCCATGAAAGACCTTAATCCTTCATATAACATGCACCGAAACACATTATTTACTTCAGTTAAATGTGTATATATTATTATTCATTAATATGGTAAACACAAAAAAACAGAACCTTCCAATCCTGCTTTAAATACACATTGAGATGTGTATTGTAATGGATTTGAAGAATCAAAAACAAAAAAATAGGTATTGTATCCCCTCCATGATTTGACAGTAAAGGAATGTTAACAAGCCAAGGTGAAATATGACAAAAGTACTATGGTTGACAACATATTGCAATAACTCCCATTACCAGAACAAATAAACAGGATTTGTATGCTAACAGATTTCAGAGAAGTTGGGGGCTAAGCTACATTTTTGATTCACTGTGCCTGCGTTTGTCATTTTCAAAATCGCTGTCCTGGGAGATGAGATGGTAAGGTTTCTTCCTCTCCTTCTCCTCTAGCACAGAATTCCCCATCTCCACGTCTCTGCTGCGAAGCTCATGTCGAGACAGGAACTCCACTATACCAGCACCAATTGAATCTCCCAGAACATTGGTGGTTGTACGCAAACGGTCCCTGAATTCAATTCAGAAGGAGGACAAAAACAAAATTGTGTTGTAAAAATGATAAAACGTGGAATTACAACTTTCACTATGAACTATGTTATTTCTGACAGAGCTACTGTTGTGTAGCAACATGCCATTTACCTTAAAATCCATAAATAAATTCAAATGTAACATAGTGTTGTCCATTGTTTATGTTTTGAGTCTACTAGTTCTGAATGTGGGACATGATTTGTTTACAGGTTTAACTTTTTCATTTGTGTTAATCTTCATGGTTGAATCCCCTGTCAGTACAAATGTAGACCAGATTATTCAGGAAAAAAAAAAGAAAAAAAATTACTAACAGAGGAAAAGATGTATTGAGCAGTTTTACATGAGTAATTAAAGATGGTTTATAATGTACAACCGCTTAGTGTAGTCAACCAGAACAAAAATAAATTCCTTTTATACATTCCATTTACCTTTTATTTCTCACCTGTAAAAAAAACATGAGACTATAATGATTTTTTTGAATGAATGTGTGATTTTTAGAACTTTGTTTCCTTATTGTTTGTCATTTTGAAGTTATGAAAGAGCACTCAAATACAAATAGAAAAGCTTTTCACTTGTAAAGGTGGTACTGACTCCTATCATGACAGTTTCACTAAATGTTGAGAGACTGCATTCCTAGACGCAATTATGTTCAAGTCCCTGTGGACAAAAAGAGACAGATATGTGTCCACGATACAAATGAATAAAGCACATTTTGTGTGGAATTAATGTGTGGAATATGGTTAAACAGATTAAAAAGCCTAAATGAATAGATAACTTAAGGTGTAAATTTCTGCTAATCAGCCAGATTTATTTATTATATTTATGATTTTGTAAGACAGTATATATAGGTAGTTCCTATGCAAATTCCTATACATTTATAGGCATTACATTATCCTTTACTCATTCAGGAATGTCCTTCTGAAGTGGGGGTTTGGCAGACTTTCATAACTGGTCCATCCTTATTGAAGCACAGGAGAAGCTTTTTTTCCTCTCTTATTACCCCAGTTAGCAGAGTAATTTCTGGTAACGGCATTCTAATTTAAATGATTAATTTGGGAAACCTAATTATGTTTCTATGTTAACACGCTTTGTAAAAATATTCAATAATAAAGGGAAGATGTAGCCCAAGACCCCAGGGAGGATGGAGAAGTGTGTCATTGGGTGGTAGTGAATGTGGAACTTTAAAATGAAATGCATGATTAGTGTACAGTTTCAACACTTGACAGAGCAACTTTGCACGCTGTGTGTTTGAATGAGAAGATGTTCATCGTATTGGATGCTACTCACAGGAACCAGTCAACCGCAATGATGAGAGTGATGTCATCAGTAGGAAGTCCAACGGAGGTTAGCACTATCACCATGGTGACCAAGCCAGCTTGAGGGATACCAGCCGCTCCGATACTGGCCGCAGTTGCTGTGATGCTTCATTACAAAGGCACAAACAAACATGAAAACATGGTGGTCACTGCTGGAGTTCCTATTTTTCCCACAGTGCACACCTTTCCCCCCCCACTTTCTGTTCTTTTTTACCTGATGGTAATGATCTGGCCAAAGTTCATTTCCATATTGTTGACCTGAGCGATGAAAATGGCTGCCAGTGCCTCATACAGAGCTGTTCCATCCATATTAATGGTGGCACCCACCGGCAGCACAAAGCGTGTGATTCGCTTGTCAATTCTGTTGTTCTCCTCAAGACATTTAAATGTGACTGGGAGTGTTGCAGAGCTGGGGAAAGAGAGAAAAAACAGAAATAATACTAATATGACTAATAAGAGGCAAAAAATGTCTTGATTTCACTATTACCATGAACCACAGAATATGTCTTATTTTTTATCTTTTCTAATTTATCTAGATTTTATTTTATTTAAACAACTTTTAGGGATATATTACTGTTAGTTCAGATGGTGTGCTTCTTGGCAATAGTGTGAAAAGACAGTGATTGGTCTTGATTTGTGAAGCCATTTATGGAGGATCCTCACAATGTTGACTAGACGTTGCAATCTTTAAATTACTGGGTCTAAACAGACCATTATTAATCCAATTTAATTCAAGATTAATATTTTTTTTACATATTTTCATATTTTAAATTGAGGAAATAGTGCTCAATCTTTAATAGACCATGTCCCCAATTAAATCAGAGTTTTACCTGTTGAATGAAATATCTTAAATATTGAAGTGGTTGAAAAAAAATCAAGAAACCATCTGTTCTCCTAAAGACAAGAAAAGACAACTAGAACTAATACAAATTAGACACTTGACATAACCATGGAAACTATCATGAATTATCATAAGAGAAACATTTGCGGGGGAAAAAAAATAATCTTGCTGCTAACCAATCTGTTTAATTAATAGCTCAATGTGAGCATACATGAAAAGCAATAAAAGTTTTAAAGTTGATTGCCAGAGGTATACATTATGATTAGAGACTTCTAATCATTTAGACCGAAATGGTGATTAGAAACCCTATGGCTTTTGTGCTCCTTTGCCAACTTGGTGATCTACCGATTACAAAATAACTGGATTTGATATATTAATGTGGTCCTGTTTTAGCATTTATTTAATTTCCTGATGCATGGTAGTAGCACATATTACACACCTGGAGGAGGTTCCCAATGCTGTTACTAAAGCTTGCAGGAGTCCAGCAATGAAGATAAAGGGGTTCTGTCGAGTGATCACAAAATAAAGAGTGGGCAGAATAAGAACGCCGTGAATCAGCAAGCCAATGATGACTGTGATGGTATACATGCCCAGTTGGCCACCCATTTGTGTCAGATCATCCATCTCTACAATCTTTCCGGCAATTAGGAACAGGATTCCAATAGGAGCATACCTTAGAGGGGAAGAGGATCAATGCATTTCGTCTGTAAAGTGTAAAATGTACGTTAAAAACAATGTCTGGCAAAGCGTAGGAACCTTACCACATGATGATAGCAACCAGTCGCATGATGGCTTCATTGAGGCTGTCGAAGAATTCTCTAAGGAGCTGGCCTTGCTCTTTCATGTTGCCAATTATTAGACCAAAGCACATGGAGAAGACCACCAACCCAAGGGCATTGACTCCATTGACCTGACCCGGTATCGGAATCACTTCCTCCCTTATGAGCTCCATTACCTCCTGAGTACCATTAGTTGAGTTGAAGAGAGTATCGTTTATTGTCACGGTCACATGGACTGCCCGACGTCCATATTTTGTCTTGAACTGTAAAAATGAGGGGAGCATGAGATTATTACAGGTTGACAAAGATCACTGAGCTCTATGAAAGTCTCAGAAATATTTGAGGAAAATGTATTTTCCACACATTTTTGTATCATTCAGTCATATGGGGGAACAGGTTGAGATACCATTTTTCTGAATTTCAGTTAATATTTTGACGTCATAAAAGTTAAGACAAGTTAAAAACGTGCTATCTATATTTTTGAAGTTTTTGAAAAAAATACTCACTTTTTTGTAGTGTGAAATTTTAATAATTTTTCTCATAGACACTATGTAGCTATTGGAAAAAAAATTAAAAGGCCTAAAAATGTTTGAGTGTCTGTGCCGACAAAATTTACTGAACATTAGTAATTTAATCTCTGCAGTCACTGAAGTAAAAAATATATTTTAAACCTGATGAATTAAGATATACATATGTCATTGAAATGGTGATCAGACAAATTAGCATAGAAATTACTCTCAGACATGTGACAAGCATGCTTTAAACCTAAGGCTGACGTGCTGTTTGATGGTTAGGATTTTGTGAGTTGGAGTTAGATGCAAAACATACCTGCTGTGTGCAGGCCTGGACCAGGTTTGGAGGAAACATATTTCTGAAGAGAGAAAAGAAAATATTTAGTTTTAGAATGTGCCCTATTACATAGACATTTGAGGAATACCGTTGCTCCCATATGTTCATTACCTGATCAGATCTAAAAAGGCATCAGCTGGACTGATTTGCTCTATGGTCTGCTGCTTTCCAAACTCCTCTTTTGACCCTTTTCCCGGGTGTATGATGAGCACGATTATTATTCCTATGAACACTGCGATAATGGTTGTGGTCATATAGTAAATCACAGCTCTCATGCCCATCTTCCCTGATGCTTTGCTGTCCAAAGCTGCCATCCCTTTTGGTCAGAAAAAATGAGAGCATTATGAAAGTTTTTGACAAAAAACAAAAACACATTTTCAGTGGGAGGCACTATTGCCTTACATCCTAATTTGAATCTAGGCTGGGGCCTTTCAGTGGGAAGTGTGCAGGTTCTCCCTTTGTGGGATTTCTCTGTGTAGTCCTGCTTCCCCCCGCTATAAAAAAAAATCCATGTTAGGTTAATTGGGTGTTCTAAATTGCAAACAGAAGGGAACTCAAATGTGCATGGTTGTGTGTATCGTCCATCTCACCCCGTCCATGCAGATTTAAAATAAACCTGGAGTCAAAATAAAGCTGATAAGCAGAAAATAAAAACTTTTTTAAAAATCCATTTGTCAATTTGGGTGTTTTCATTTTCCGACACATTTCAAACGTAATTTTTCAATTTGTATCATGGACATACATTTGTTTTTATGTTGTTGTTGTTTTTTGTGGGGGGGGTGGGGGGAGTATCAAGAGTTCATTTTGAATATTTATCTTACTTTGTTTGACAAATAAATTGTCCAAAACATGTTCATTCTCTTCATTTTTATAAACACTACATTATTTGATTATTGTGACTTACTCAGATAATTGAATTTCTCTTGGGATAAATTAAGAAGTCCATCTATCTAATAAAATCATATGAGATTACTGCAAAAACTAACATGTTAGTACTGATATTAAATCAGATAAACAAATTTGGATGCATCACTACTGCTAAGCGATCAAACATAATGATATTCATTGTAATTTCTTATTAATATGACATTAGAATACAGCTAACTACTAAAATGTGTGAATCAGTGACACCTGTTATTAAACTGGAGACCAGTAGAGGCAGGACAAGCATTTGAAGCATTCTCATCAGCACCTCTCCAGGAAATGAAAAGTACTTCACTTCACGATATGTCATTTTATATGGTCGCAGCGCGAATCCAAGAATAACACCTGGAAATGAACAAAAAGACATCTTTGATCTGCATCAATGCTGACAGAGGGAAGCTCTGCGTGCTTAAAACATACACACCTACGATAACTGCTCCCACTGTAAAGAGCACAAAAGCATTCTTCTTGAGGAAGGCCTGGACATCTTCTTTGGAAACCTCCTCCACTTTCCTTTTGGCCTTCATAGCACGTATGTGAATGCCTTCTCTGAATCGCTGCATCCTGCTCAAATACATAAATATGAATGCTTTATGAAATTATTGTTGACAGTAATAGGATGCTATCACTTACAATTACATTTACATTTACGTAAATTGTACAGCATGATGTTTAGATAAGATACATTTTAAAAATTGATATTTTTTCTATAACAAAATTATTAATTTAGAACAAATTGTTTGTTATAATTGCTTGTTTGTGCCTTAACAAATGTTGTATTATGTATTAGTGCTTTGTATTTATGAATATTAACCATCAAGAATGATAGGGTTAAATTGCATTACCTTCTATTTCTAATGCTCGATCAATTTTATATGTTACAGGAGGGTAACTGATCATTTAGAGGATGTCTACAGAAGAAAATTAAAGGAAATGTTTGATTCAAGATCATTTCTGATTAGAATTGATTGCCAAAGTAAGGACTTTGGAAATTTAGTTGTGGTTTAATTTCAGTTTATTTATACATCTATAACTGATAACGTGTCATGTCCGATCGCTTTGAACTGGAACGGAAAAAAGTCCAATAAAATCTAATTAGTTTCTTGTTCGATAAAAGTATTTTGAACCTACTTCAAGGCAGATTATCCCCAATTATTTACTTCAGTAGAATAAAGTCAACGGTTAACACTATTGACATATCTATTTAAATTAATCACAATATCATGGCCATATATGGCTCAAACACAATAGGGATTGTGAATTGGTAAATAAACTGCATTTACATGGCAATTCATTCAAATACTTGGTTTTATGCAACAAGCTGCATCCAAACGTGAAACGTCAAAACGGGGTGAATGTGGAATATCAAATTATCATATTAGACAACTAACCAATTTGGGAGAAATCATAATGCTCAGCCTCTTGAGTTAAAGCTGTTCTAATATCCAAACGATATCTGGTACTCGTCACTCATCTTATTTTGATTTTCAAGGATCCTAAGGTTCCAGGTGCTGTTCCCTTTGTAATTACATAACATCACCCTTTACTTTTGTCTTTTCTGCTTATACAACTTTAAGATTACTTAGTGTCAGTACGAGTATTATTTTCTGGTAATCTAAAAGGGATATCCAAGAAATTTATTAGATTTCAGCCTCTTTTCATAGTTGAGAAACTAGATAAATACTAAAGCATGTTTGTCTAACAACTCTTGTTTTTTCAGTAGTTCTTTTAACTAATAATCCACTTAACACCATTATACTGTGTTTTTTCATGGGTAATCTACAATTTATTAAAAAACAGACTTAAAATATGTTTACAGAGCAAAATATTTAACAGCTTGAAACTGGAACAGTTTTTTAGACTGTATATCACAGATTAAAGACAAAGAGAGAATAATTCCATATAAAAGGAACTAAGAAAGCTTAGAATAATGCCTATTAATATATTTGTGATATTATTCATGATATTCATAATATGAACATATCATTTTTGGCTTTGATTTTTTTTCTCTCACTTCAGATCAAGTTAACTTTAAATCTGGAGAGTAAAACCTAAATTCATATCTGTTATCTTTATGATTTCTGAGTGGATCCTTTGCATTCAGAGTTTTGATGTTTTCCATCTTTGACGTATAATAAAAGAAAGGAAACAACATGTGCTGTAACTATCTTAAACTATTTGAATTTACTAAAGACTCTGAATGATTAAAGCAGGTACTACATCAAAAAGCTTCACTTGGACATAAACAGAGCTCGTTACATACCTGTTTGGATTGGCGTCTCTTCTTCAGTTTACGGTGTCGAGGGATAAGTTTGGAGAACAGATGGGGAAACCGCTTCCTGCTATTTTTCCTGGTGATTCTGTGAATTAACAGGACAGTGTCTGGAGCTCTAAAACTAAAATACTCCAAGTGTGTCAGAAATTGCGCTCTCCACCACGTTCTGTTGCCAAAGAAAAAAAGGAATGGACTCATGCAGATAACCGACACAAAGAGGGAGGGAGGCAGACGAGGAGGAAAAAAAAAAACGTAGAAAATGGTCCTCCCATAATAACACTGTTAGCCCTGTGACACAGTTACAGCACTAAGGCCCAGGTGTTTGAAAACCTTTAATTGAAGAACGTTCCAATATTCTATTCACTTATAACCATTAACAATGTCCCATTTTCTCCTTTCCTTAGTGGTTTAGAAACTTAATGCAAATGTTTTAATGTACAACTGGATTATTTCTGACATCGTTAAATGATACATATCATCTCACTTGAGACGTGTTATAGTTTAAGATAATTCCACAGAGTAAATGACATACCACAATTAGCCAAATAAAGTAGAGCTTGAGCTGTAACGGGTCACCCCCGTGTATGGAAAGCTGAATATAATTAGGAAAGAATACCCCTGAAATCAGGTCACGTAATCTTTTACAAACCCCCTGTTGTTGACATATTAATGAATTAGATAATTCCTCAGATTCTGGACTTTGTCAATGTCAGAACAATTTATCTGGGTACATATTAACAGTATTGCATTTATTTATCAATCATTCTATTTATTTGATCTTCAGTTTGCCTAACTTAAAGAATAATTTATCATCAAGACCCAAAGGTAATTAATTAAAAACCAAATCATCTTTTTTTGCAAGCATGTGCAATATAGAGATGTCAGAGATACTTTGGAAGGGACTAAAGATAATATTGTACAGCAATACAACTTTTAGGCCACTTCTTATGGTGCACAAAATAGTAAAATGTATATGTAAATGTACATATTATGCACATTTACATATACATTTAATCATATGGAGTTTGAGAGTAACATTTCTCTCACTTGACTTTTAGAAAAGTAAAAAAGACTGAAAAGTCCTTCCTGTTTAGCACACAAAATTTATTATTAAATGCATAAAATAACGTGGCAGGAACCTTTGAAGTGGGCTATGAATATGTGGTCAAAGAGAAGACATTTGTGACTTGACTGATTCAACACTGTATTAAAAACCAGACTTACCCATTAATGTTCATGTATTCCATGACCTTGTTCAGTGTTTCCCAACCTCGGCCCTCAAGGCCCCCAAGAGCTGAGGAGCTGTCCCATTCATTTGAATCAGGTGTGCTGGAAAATATGCAGGACAAGTGTTCCTAGAGGACCAGGGTTGGGAAACACTGCCCTTGCTAATGTGTGCTGTGCTTTTCATAATCAGGCCCACACACCACTTGCATTGGGAGGAAAACTCCATACACACAAGTATTTTATTCACATTTTCATTTAATTGGAAAATACTCACGTTTATAATTTTCTCATTTCGCTGTCAAGATCTCAGGATCTGAGTAAGAGTAATAATTAAATTTAAAACCTTTTTTTTAAGTTCTACTCTTAGAGTGTATCATGATTTTCCATCTACATGAAATTCAGCAAGAAAATCAAAGTAACTAAAACTTATTGGATTTTAGTGACTCAATGGCTTTGACCGTCTCTTTTAAGTACATAGATATGGGATTTGCCTGGGTTTGGCACCATACGAATACACTTTAATTGAATTACATTTTAAGGTTTAGTCCTGCAAGTACACTGATTACATTTCAACATTAAGAGCAGCTTGTAATATCCTTCAGGGCCCCTTTCTGAATGTAAGACAGCAATTTAAACGTCATTTTTAAGAGTAGTCTGTTGTGCAGGTCTCTGCAGGGGCCTGGGCCCCTCAAATAAATGTTGTGCCCCCTAAAACTTAATGTACCAAAATTGATAATTAAATGTAAAGCAATGCCATATTCTCCTATTGGTCCTCGTACCTGACTCCATCTGGACTCTAGGTCTTGAACGTCCTCCACAGAGAGAATAGAAAGGCATAAAAGCCTCTATTTTTTCCAGGAATCCCAGCTGGACCAGATGCAGCCCCTGCAGCTTTTCTTTGGGTAGAAGAGGATTTTAGGATTTAGAAGGGGAAATGCTGAGAAAGGCCCCGAGATGCAGCAGGACAAAGACAGCAGGCAAAGGAGCAAGCAGATAGAAGCAGGTCTGCACTCACCGAGATCCAGAAGACGCCACAGGGCATTTAAAAAATACTAATTTCATTGCCTCCCTCCCCTCAATAGGCTGTGCCCCAAGTTGGTCCACCTAGGAAAGAACTCTTGGACACCCCCATGGAACTTATGTCAATAGTTGTACATCCAAATGTATCTTTTTTCTCTGAGACATTAATTGCACATCTTTAAGGACAAAACTCATGCAAACACATTTCTTAGCGCATCTCAGTGGAATCTACATGGATTAAGAGCTGGTCTGATAATGTTATTGGGTTCTGGCCCATAATATCGGAAGCTTCCAGCCTTCCTTCTGAATTGGGCAGGCACAGCCCAAGAGTGTAGATGTCCATCACACCCCTAACTCAGTTCTCATTTTTTATAGATATCCTCATTGAGTTTTGTCAGCTTTACATGTGACATGAATAAATTACACAATTGTACTCTGATCCTTTCTCTGGTTTATTCTCAGGCTTTCAATAAAAGAATCGGGCTAACACGTGGAAGGAATTAATAACACGTTTTTCACTGGTGGCCCTCTTTTGAGGGCAGCAGGGTGGTGTAGCGATAAAAACCGTTGCCTCACAAAAAGAGAGCCTCTGTGTGGAGTTTGTTCTTCCGGTGATCGAGTGGGTCCGACCTCCCACCTGCAGTCCATAACAATGCGTAATTGGTTAATTGCTGACTCGAAATGGCCTAACTAAGTACTGTCCGCGTCGTTGGTCCGTGAACGACTGGGGAGATGTCCACGGCGTACACCGCCTCAGGAACAATGTGAGCTTATTAGATAAGACCCAGCCCCCGCCACCATGATAAGAAGTATAAATAGATGGTTTGGCAGCTTTCATAAGAAAGGACAAAGCGTGGATACTTTCAGTCAGTTGGCAGCTGTCGCCTGTCAGACTTAAATGGACAGCAATTAAAATTGTCACAAGTTCTCGTCTGTGAATATTCAAATAAAATCTTGCCGTATGCTATTCCCGTATTCACTCTGGTTTTAATTAAATGTGTATTTTCTCAGAAGGAGTTTATCGTTCTGTAGCTATAACTATGGTGGCCCTGGAGTGAAAACCACATCGACAAATCCCTTCTCACAGCTACAAATTAAAAAACACAACATATCCAAAGCACATCTTACAAAAACACATTCATTATGCACAATTACAAAATTACGTAAACACAACGACATTACCTAAGCACAATTACAAATTACGATAACACAACATTACCTAAGCATAATTGCAAATTACGAAAACACAATGACATTAACACAACTAAAGAGGTAGGTCCTAGTGGGAAAACCACTTTTCTTGTTTAGATAAACGTTCGGCAGGCAGCACGAGCCCGGAGTAGCAAACAGACGCCAGGGAGACGTCCAATAAACGTCACAGCTTTGTCACTTTAACTTTTCACGTCACCTACGTAGCCAATCGGGTTGCACATTGTGCATCGTACGTAATACGCTCAGATTTAGCGTGTGCCAGGTTCTATGGTACATGTTGCCGTTGTCCTCTTGCGTCGTTTCTTGTTCTTCCAATCTACGTGGTACCTAATGGTGAACTATTGTGGAAGTTTTTTGAGTGTGGTGCGACTTTAACGTGGTCTGTGGTAAGAGTAGGCCCAAACGAAGTATGTGACAAGCACGCTTGCGTCTTGTTATTAAACTGCTAGCTACTTTTAGCTTGTTAAGTGTGTTTGGCAACATTATGGTCGCTATTAATTACATGTGTTGGCTAAGCATTTCGAGTACAAGTTAACTGTTGTTCTTGTCGTTTAGTTGCGTGCCTGTAAAAACATTCAGCTTGGAAAGCAACGCTATATAGTTGCAAACGGGAAGCTTTGCAACTAGGAAAGAGCTCAGTGACCTTCCGCGACAGCTGGCGTGTGGCTCATCGCTTTTCCTCTGAATGGACAAAAAATGCATCTGACCAGAGGACTGCCACGACCAAGAACGTCACCTGAGTAACCGAAACTTCAGAAAAACCCTTCTTCGACACTTGTGTTCGAGCTTTTTCGTTTAATTTTAGGCTGCGATAACTTTTTTTTTTTTTAAGAATGACTCGCCGCTCTGTGGCGAACGTGTTTTCCCTTGGAAGTCGGATAGTTTGTTATGGGTACTCGCATCGTTTTAACCACAAGGCAACGTGCAACTTCTCGTCCAAAGCAAAAGTTGGGTTTAAACCTGAAAAGGTAGCGGTGGTCACAAAAACGACACGGTACGAATTTGAACAGCAACGTTATCGCTACGCAGGGCTGTCCGAAGAAGATTTGAAACACTTGGTAATACTTTGTTTTAACTTTTTACCCTCCATATCTTTAGCTCGCCACCCCTCAAGGATCGATGCAATACTTAATGTTTTTGCCAGTGACATTCTGGCTTATTTCTTTCTCTGATCTGTTTTTTCCCAGCTTGCCATGAAGGGCTCCAGCTACAGCGGTCTACTGGAACGACATAATGTACACACTAACAACGTGGAACATATTGTGAACAGCCTTCAGTAAGACGTATCCCCAGAGATTATCCCAGCCATGTCAGTTAGCCACAGGGACTGCTGTGTTTTTCTTTTTGGTGGCTTGAGCACATGTTTTATTCATGTGTTTATAGGAAAGAGGGAATTGATGTACAAGTTGTGAAGAGAGGGGAATATAATGAAGAGGTTGTGCGATGGGCAGATGCTATTGTCTCTGCTGGAGGTGAGACTTTCAATTTAGTATTTTAATTGTACTTATGATTTTTGCTTTTTTTATGGACTCCTATCTGTAATTGATTGTTGGTAGATCTATCACGATAGCTCATAAAAAGTCAAACTTACAGGCTTAGATGGCCACTATCCCAACCATTTGTTCAAAGTGGTGAACTTGATAAGGTTAGAGGCAAAAATGTATTAATTCTTGCCTTAAATGTTTCTGTCAAGGCATGATTTACAAACCTGGGAGGACTTTAATTTATTTAGACCAGAGGAGTGTCAAAACATCCTGTGTACAAAAGCTAGAGACAACAGATTAGCACACAATGCAAGTTCTCTAACTGCAGTTTGTTTTGTTAGGTGACGGAACAATGCTACTTGTTGCCAGTAAGGTTTTAAGCAAGGACAAACCTGTCGTCGGCGTAAATACAGATCCAGAAAGGTAAACCAAACATTTCAGCCTATTTGCTGAAAGATTTAAACTGTTTAACTAATACGGAACACATGGTTTATAGTTATGATGCTTTTAATGTATTTAAGTTAACTTAGAAAATACAGTTTTTCCTCTTACTATTTAATGGAATGTTTAGCTGAATTCCTTGCATTTTTTTCATTCCCTGTAAAGGTCAGAAGGGCATCTTTGCTTGCCTGTGCGGTATACTCATGCCTTTCCAGAGGCACTTCAAAAACTCTGTCGTGGTGAGTTCAGGTGTGTATTTACATACATACAGTGTCCTATTCTATTGTGCCTTCTTCCTGGTTAGAATTCTGCCCATTCTACTGGTGTTTGCTCTGAAAACCGTGCCATTATTTATCATTATCGTAGAGTTGAAGACGAGTTGGAATCTGTCGTCTGTCAAATGGCAGCATCCAAATATGACTGATTTAGTTATGGTGGGTTATAACAAAATCAGCCTGCAGTGAGGGTCATATCTGGAACTAATTCTTGATAGCTACCTTTGTATTTTGAACTTAATATGCAGGGAGCTATTTGGAGCACTTGTTGGCTGCTTGTGCTTCACTCCATGTTCAAAGTCAACCAAAACAGTCTTAAGTTGGGGGAGGTTCTGCTCTGATAAAAAGCCAAGTCAAGGTAATCTTTTAGTCCTTTGCATTCATTTTGATCTCATCTCCTTTGCTTTGTCTGTGCCATGCCCAGGTGGCTGTGGCGTCAGAGAATCCGCCTGTACTTGGAGGGCACAGGAATAAATCCCACCCCAGTGGACCTGCATGAGCAGCAGCTGAGCCTGGAGCAACATAGCCAAGCTCACCGCATCACCACGATGGACAGTCAGCAGAGTAAGACCTGTGCTACACCTTTCCATGAGACTCAGTATTGACGTTGCACAACACAGAAAGCGTTAGACTGTAAAAATTGAAGCGATATTTGTCTTTCCTTAACAACTCTTTACTTAACTTGTATTAGGCTTGTCCCGATCCGATCCACAAGCCGATATGTGCAAAAAAATGCGTATTGGCTGGCAGGAGAAAATGTCTATCCAGATTCCCGATCCAGTTTTTAAAAAAAAGTCTGATCCCGCACAAGCATTAGCATCTCCTAACCCACAGGTCTGTGTTCTAACCATTAAGTTGTTATAAGAGTAAATCCCTGTTCAACATGAGTATGACAACTAATTAAGTAGGCTTTAACTTTAATACATGCTCTGATAGGCCGGGATCGGAATCGGAAGTCCAAAAAGCTGGATCGGGACATCCCTAGCTTGTATAAACCTAATCTATTGTACTTTTTCAGGGAGAGGAACATTGCAAAGGAGCTCCCCCGAGCCCAACCTCCTCCCCGTGCGAAGTTTGAACGAAATCTTCATCGGTGAATCTCTTTCCTCAAGGTACATCCATTATGTTATTGTTATGCTGCAGTTCCACCCAAACCTGTGCTCACTGCCTGTGTCTGGATGTGTGTTCTAACCCTCATTAAACCCTAAACCCTACCCATCTCACCAGAACTCATCAAGTGACATCTCTGTCCACCACAGGGTGAAGTTAAAATCCCTCACACCCCATGTTAACCTCTCGCTTCATAGGGCTTCCTACTATGAGATCTCGGTTGACGATGGCCCGTGGGAAAAGCAGAAGAGTTCGGGACTGAGTATCTGCACAGGAACGGGATCTAAAGCCTGGTAAATGTATAACCAAACTTTCTAAGCGTTCAGCATTGAACCTTGTCCATCATCTTTAGATACACTGTGACTTATGGCAAATAGCCTTACCAAAGCACAGGAGTTATTTAAAAAATGTTGGAAAGAAAAGTAGGGACGTTGTAAAGAAGGCGTCAAAGGAAAAAAAGAAAGTTTGCAAAGAAAGTATTCCCACTTCACACAAGTCAATAATTTTTGGGGAAAAAAGTAATATTTTAGTGATAAGAGTTACTCCTGTTGACAAACAACACAATTCTTTTTTTCTTTATGGCAGTGCTCAGCACTGGTTTATTTAGATTTTCTTTCCTTAAAACTTTTTAAAAAGTTATTTTTTTATTAGATGAGTTTTCTAAAATGCCATGAAAACACTAATCTTTTATTATTGACTTGCTTTTACAAAAGCAATTACAAAAAGTACAAAAAGGGATGATTTTCTGTGCCGTAACAAACAAACAAAAAAAACAAAGTCTTGTGAGTTGCAACACATTGTTGCACATATCAGTGCTGATTACATTCGGGAAACATGACATTCCTGTTCCGTGTGTTCTTGGAGATGGCCTCAGTGTTGCTTTCCCAGTTTAGTCTTGTCCAGATAAAGAGGATGCTGTTTAGGGAGATGTTTCTCAAGCGGTTTCTATTTTTTTTTTTCCAAGTACAACTGACTTTCCTTCCTTTCGTTGACCCTGCCCCAACAGTTTTGAGATTTGGTTCTATATTTTCCATTTAATATTACATTCTTTCACTGTCAATACCTACTACCTTTCTATTGTTTGTTTTTTATCAACATTTTACATAATTTCCTAACCGTTTTGGATGTAGGCGTTTTTAGACCGGAAATAACTGAGAGCTGCTAAGCTAAGGGTCCTTTGGGTACGGTCATTTAGTTTTTAAAAAATCTGTCATCTTTGCCATGTTATTTTACTTTTTTCTATGACAAAGCATGTTTGCAAAGACACCATTTACACAGACACACACGTTAGATCAAGAGATCAAGATTAGTTCTTTCTCGGAGAGGTCCATGGCTTTAGCTTGTCATTACCATATCTTATTATTTCCGATTTACTAAAGCAAAGCTGAGTCGACTTGAAATATGTTGCTGGACTAGCCTTCCTTATTTTCACGCTGAACACTTTGTTGCGCATTGTCACAAGAATTACTCAAGAGCAGTCAATGCTGCGAATATCCCAAATAATCCCAAAATCACAACAGTTTCAACACAAAAATAGACATATCTCTCACACATTTGTTGTATATGTGAATGTCAGAAAATTCTACATTTGTTGTTTATATGAATTAAATATTCTAAAATTAGTCAGTAAACACTCAAATTATTAGTCTTTGTTATTATTTCCGAAGTTATTATGAAACATTTATACACATTTGTTACATTTTTAACTTTTTTTGGCCATTGTTGAAGTTATAATTTGTTCTCAAGGACAAATCTTTATCTATCAGCTTATTTTTTACTTCGCCCTCAGTTAATTCAGTTTTCTTTTTCCATCTATTATCTATACATCATATATTATTTATTGTGGGGGGGCAGCTCTTTTAATGTCCTAAAAATTATCACAAAGAGGCCATACTTTAGGGATCACATGGAGACCATATACATAGTTTTTCTCTGGTTATTTGTATTTGATGTATCTTACACTGTATCATGGTTAATAAATGTGTCAAACTTTGAGTGTTGATTTCCACCTGCATCCCTTTTTTCTGCTTATTGTTCATAGGTCATATAATATCAACAAACTTGCCGATCAAGCAGTGGAGGAGGTTCTAAAAATTGGTAGGCACGCGTCTATGTTTTCTATCAAGTTCCATAGGAACTAATGTAGCTTACACAAATTTCCCAGGACATCACCGAACCGTTTTCTAATTCCATTTCAGGAAAGTCCCATATATCTGGTCTTGATATACCACTGAGCCAAGAGTGTATCGAAAAGGGTGAGTTTGAACAACTTCTGTCGTTGCCTACGTGGGCAATCTTCGGACAAAACCTTAAATCTTGCGCTTGTTGTCTGCGTGTGACCAGTAACTGATCAGTACAACGAGTCCCTGGTGTTCAGTCCGGAAGACAGCCGCTTGTTCTACAGCATCAGGGAGCCCATCGTCAACAGAGTCTTCTCCAGCAGCCGCCAGAGGGGCTTCGCCAGCAAGTCAGTGACCCTCTTAAAGTGTCCGAAAACACAAGTGGGACGACGGCCCGGGAGGTAAATAAGCTTTCATTGTCTCTGGTCTTTCAGGGTGTGTGTCCGCTCCAGATGTTGGGACGCCTGCATGGTGGTGGACGGAGGGACTTCCGTTGAGTTCAATGATGGCGCCATCGCCACCGTCGCCCTGAGCGAGGAGGACCAGCTGCGGACAATCGTTCTCGAGCAGTGAGACGAGCAAACAGTCCACGTCCCTCAACCCATCAGTGACGTGATCAAAAGGAAGCACCTGCTTGATATCCAGACAGGCGTTGTATACTTTCATACCAAAACCAAAGGGTGATTTTTCTCTTTTATTCCAATTGACCCATCCAATTCTTTTGTTTTTTTCCCTTATTGATTTAAACCACATATTTTTGCCAGGCTGTTCAGGTTATAATTCAAATTAGAGGATACCGTGCCATACAATATTGTAAAGGGGTAACAAAAAAATGTATTCTCTAGCAAAAGGTGCTATAGGACTAAACCTTTACATCTAAATTTGGTAACAGTGACTTGTCATCTTTTCTAACATCTACTATAGCCCAGATTGAGATTAGGTTTGTCTGTTTGAGGATGGGGATCCATTCACAGAGGATCTGTATCATTTAGATAGATTTATATGATAAATTCAAAGCATCCAGATTATGTTGAGAACGTGACATGCGTCATAAATATCTGATCATTTATAAGTGTTTGGTTATTTATTTGAAAAAAGATAAAGGTGCACGTCATTTAGTTCAGTAGATATTTCCCTTCGCCTCATCTTGTGTCTTGCCCACCTTTGTGTTGCAGTTTAAAGCTCATTTCCAATGCCTTTGGGTTGCCTCAACATGTTGCTGAGTTGATTTAGCCCTCGCTAAATGGAAAATGCAGCACATAGCTAACAGATCCCAGTGACACAGCCAATGTTCTTATTCTTCAACTACTTTTTTTCCCCCCTAAAAGATCGACAGGGTATTAAAAAGCACATTTTAACATAAAGATGCTTTGTGAATGTAGCCCCAGACTGAAATGTACAAAAGATTTTTACGCAAGTGCAGTCTCTGGATAAAAACGCTCGCAGGTCAAGAAAGTAATTCTTAAGATTTAGTTTTTCAGATGAAACTTATTCAGAATCCATCTGTGACATGTTTAATATTTACTGCATCAGTTTTGGAAACTGCTCACAATCATATGGTCTTTAAATAAGCATTGCTCTCTTCCCTCCAATCTTATCCGGTGTCACAAATGATGACGTAGTAGATTTGTTATATGCTATATTAATTAAGATTTCCTCTATATTTAGTGTTCCAGTGAGTATTTGTGGCCACAGTGCATGTGGGATGTGATGAAATAAACTTCTGTGTGTGCATGTATGTTTGTGGTGATCTAGAACATTCATTGATTTTTTTTTTTCTTTCCTCTTAGTTATTTGTGGATCGTAGTAGAGCTCTTTAACTTAAATGAGATCCTACGTGCTAACCCAGGACAGTAATCTGAGCCACTGTTTGATTGCACAGATAACCGAGTCCACATCAGTATGTTTAGTGAGTGCAAATGTGTTTTAAACAGAGTTTAAATATTCTATAGCTGTTTCAGCCTTTCAAATATGTGCTGCTTGCTAAATCTGAGGCTGGAAAAGAGCAAATGAAGTGTGCCGAAGCCCATATTTTCAGTGCAATTCAACTACACGTGACAAGAAAATATATTTTGGAAGGTATTAAAAAAAGTGCAAAATGTGCCTGAGGTGGAGATGCCAAACACCCGAAAGGCACGATTGCTTTTAACTGGTCAAAACGCACCACTAAATTTTGTTTGGTTATTTTGTACAGTGTACAATTTGATGTACAATGTTTTATAGAGACTTTCTAGACCTCTAGTCCTATTTTGTTACAAAAACCTCGATGGAGAACCTTGTGATAACTCCCAGGATTGACTTGGAATTAAGGCATTTTTTAAATTGATCAAATAATCTAAAACTGTAACGAGACATGATCAAGGGAAAACGTCCCGTGGAAACGCTTATGTTTACAGTGATTTGTTTTTTTGGATAAAGTGGTTTGGAACAAATGCTTCTGTGTGCTTTTTATTAGCCAATTATTTAGTTCTCAGTTTTATGGATAGTGGCCCACATGATGCAGTCTATAATTTCTTATGCATTTTTTAAGGTCATGTCTCACTTGGAACATCCCTACCTCTGTTCTCAGTCAATGATTTGGTAGATTTGGATCTATATACAAGAGGAAAACGCATTTCAGGTTAGAGAATGGATTCGTAAATCTTTATCAGAATGACTTGGTTTTTTTTGTATCGTTTTGTTTTTTATTTTTAAAATTCAAATTCTTCAAAATACACTTGACTATAAAGTATTGAAGCAGAAAAGAGGACCATTTACCAACCATAAAAATTGTATTTACAGTTTTCCTATACCAGAGACAAATCATCATTTCAAACTTAGCCGGTTAAGATGCGCTTCCTTCATAAAAACATTTAAGTTAACTCTTTATCAGAAACAACAGATCAACTAATGAAATTCTGAGCATCATTGAACTTGAATGGTTCGATCCGAGCTTGCGTGCGCGTCACATAAAATACAGTGGTCGTTATGTGGCACCAAAAGCACTTGCAAGCCCAAAATCCTCCTCTTATAGCAGCAACAAACTCCGGCTACAATGGCTAAATCATTGCATTACGCCAAACGAGAGTTTTAAAAACAACGGCTTAAAAAACAAAATCGAGAAGACGCTGCTACTAGAGTCTGAACCTCAGCCGACACGTCCTGTTCCACATGGTGTGTTCGGCGGCCATTTTACTGGCGGGGGTCGGCCGGGCAACGCTGGAGAAAGGCCTGGAGTTGATGCTAACCTGGGGCATCTCCTTTTTCAGGGGGGGCAGCTGGGTGTCCTGAGCGAGGCCGAATATGTCCAGCAGGTGAAGGGCCGGACACATCTTCCCCAGGGCCCTGTTGAGAAATCAAAAATGGTTTACCCATGTGTATATCTGTGACGAATAATCTAATCTCAGAGGCACGGAGGACGCGCGGGGGCTGGGACTTACGTGACAGCAGCGAGGGGAATGCGATAGCAGCGGCTCAGGGACAGATGCTGCAGATGTTGAAGTTGTTTGAGGACACAGAAGCTGTCGGTCGTCAGCAGGGTGCTGTCACTGTAACCCAAAATAAACCCGATGAAATGCAAAATCAAAAAAATCAATCGTGCATTCATTAGAAAGCTTACTAAATGATAGAAAAATATCTTTTTTTTTTTGCCCGCATCACACATGCAAGTCCCACATGTATAAAACTAATTTGTAAGAATAAATATGCTATAGTTTTGAAAAAAAAAAGTAGAAAATACTTCAGTTACAACACACAATGGGCCATTAAAAACCTGACAACTCTACTCACTATTAATGTTGTAAGTAATATGGTACAGAAATAACTTCCCCTTTCCTCTGTACTTTCCACACACACATCAATGAATTACAATAAATAGGACACCATCAACAGATCAACAATTAAATATGTTGTTCTGTTTGCTGGCATTAACCCTAATCCACTCCTTGAAATCTCAAGGTGTCCACCATCTACACATTTCTCTCTGCTAAACTTAAGTTTTAGAAACGTATATCAGGTTATTTTCATTCAATTTTATATTGTCATTTATAAATAAAATGTATTTTTAAAAAGTTGAATACTTAAATCGAAGGTATTACCCAAATGAATCTGGCTCTACGTGCATATGTCGTAAAGTCCTAAAAAATTCTATGCTTCATTTCAAGCTGGTTCAAACAAGTTTTGGAAAGTCAGCTAAATTTGCAAAAAACTGTACCAACCTGTTTTTCCCAAAGCATTGCTTCATCTAGAATGACTAAAACTATAAGCAAAATCGCTTACCTGATGTCTAAAGTTTGAATTTGGGGGCATCTTTCCACCAGCACTTTGAGATCTATAAAATAAGACAAAATGACATCGCTACGGTTTCAAACAAACTAAACAAGGTTTGTCATTACTCACACAAATCCTGTGATAGGGTTTACTGGTAATTATACTCTTTTATTCTTCGATTTCTGAGCAATCAGATATTCTATCTTGGAAACTACCAACACTGGTAGTGACCAATGTGCTCCCTGATAAATGGGGTGCAGCTTATTATTGAACAGAGTGATAATAATTCAGTTAAAGTATCAGGTAATGTGCTACTGACAACAGTGGTTATACCTGAAATTAAAGTATCAGGTAATTTACTACTGAAAAGTAGTGGCGGTACTTAAGTCAAAATACCAGTCACGCACAACACTCCAGGTAGAAAGTAGAATGAGTGTGGGAGTATTTCAGAGAAAGTACAGAGAGAGTGGTTGGTAAACCCTTTTTGGAGACATCCAAGGATGGGGCAACACCAAGTCTCAGAATCTCAAACCTCCAAAGGGATCCAAATTCATATATAGAAAAGAAACATGTAAAATGTGAAAAAATGAATGAATAAATAAAAAAAAGGGCAGAATGGGCAAAGTAGTATATATTTTTTTAATTTATATTTTCCCCCCAGAAGGATCTTTCAGCCTATCGGAAGTAAAAGGCTGGAAGAGAAAGTTAATGAATATAAAAAGATGAAAAAGAATTTAACAGTTTCAGATGGGGGAAATTAGGAAGATAAAAAAAAGAATAAATAAGGCAGGTAAAAAATAAAAACATTTTATTACTCGGTCGTTTGCAAGAAAGCAAACCAGAAACCAACAAAACATTTAGATTTAATTAAATACAATTAAATAAAAAAAATAAAAATTGAATTGAATATTTTTTACAAGATTGAATCAAATAAAGCCAGGTCTCTGTTGTACCATAAACACCAACATGTGGCTGCAATGAGGTGCAAAGCTACACAGATCTAGCACAGGCTTCTAACCAGAAAAATTTTAAAGAGATCCAGCTCATAAAAAGCAGGAAAAACGTCTAAAACCTGCATGACAGCGGTCTTTAGTGACTGGAGCGTACCACTCCTGCTCTACGGGGGGGGGCAAGAAATTGGGAGGCGTTCATCACTCAGCCAGAGTGAATGTGAATTAAATAGAGGGCTTCTCATTTAAAAACAAACACATAATTGAATGGTTTTCAACTACTTTAAGCAGTTTGTTTTGTATTTTTTATGTACTATATACAAAAAAACAACACTTTTTTCGGGGGTCATAACTATTACTACCCCCTTTACTTACCATCTAGCGTGAGGCTGTCTCTGTAACCACTGAGGTTCAGGTCGGTGACGGTGGGGCTTAGATTCTGAGCGATGCTCTTCACGTGGTCGTTATCGAAGCTGCACCATGATATATTCAACTGCTTGATCCTGTAATAAAAATGTTTAAAAAAATTAATAAAAACGCACGACATGAGCACACCATCCAGAGATAACAAAATAACAAAACACAGCAAAGTTTTTGGAAAACCAAAAAGCTGACCTGGAGCAGGAGTTGAGCATGTCGGCCAGAGCCGGTGCGGAGAACTTGGAGCAGGTACTTAGATTAAGATGCAAAAGGTTCGGGTTCTCAGCGAGGCACCTGAGACAGATCAAATCTATTAAGAAAAAAACCTGACAAGGACCACATTTCAGCAGGAGGACAACACGAATACTTAAAAGGTAAGAAAAGAGGTGAGAGGACATCCTCTGAGACCAGGAATTCTGTTCGACATCGGGCCTAAACGGTGCTAGATTCAGAGGCGTCGGGTTCGAAAACTCACCTCATAATATTGTCGGAGAGTTGCAGGCCTTCGAGGCTCAAACACTGGAGCAGTTTGCAGTTATCCATGATGTCCTCCAGAGCTGACAGGGGAAGGGTTGAGTTGGACAGATCCATTTCAACTATTTTCAAAGGGCTGGACAGAAAGAAGACAGATAAAACCATCAAATATGCCTGACTTTTTTTATTTTTAATACTTTCTACAGATTAAAAGGACTACAGTGACTTTATAAATAGGCTATAAATACATGATGGTAACTGGTTGTGGATTTGTTCACTTCATTGAGAATAAATTAAAAGAATACATGGTCAAAGAGGCTTAAATCGGAGTCGAATGTGATTTCGGAGTTGTACGGAAGAAAGGAAAACGGGGCCAGTCATCGGTTTTGGTTCCACTCACCCGATGCCTTTGAGCGTGAGCTCTTCCACAAAGGCGTGAGGGCAGCGCAGGCGGCAGATCCCCGTCCTCAGAACCTGCTGCAGAGCCGGGCCCGCGTCCGTCAGCCCCTCCAGATCCACGCTGTGCCACAGGGACTCATCGAACCTGGAACGAGCCGGAAACAGGACGTTTTAACACATTCATGAATAAATATCCATAAAATACAGAGTCGACTATTCGGTGGCAACTAATTTACATTCAAACATCGATGCGGGGACACTTAGAGACTTAGACTTCCTTTATTGTCATTGCACAAAAAACACGAGGTGAATTTGACAACGAAATGTCGATTACTTGGCTACCAGTGTAACAGCTAAGACCTTATACATGCACAATACATATGTATTGTATTGTATTCTATAAATAAGCGCTAAGAGCTAGCTATATACAGGGTAAAGAATCATATTTATACATATATATTGCACTGACTTTTTTGCAATGAAACATCAATAAATATGTGTGTGTAGGGGGGGGTGGGGTCGAGGAGTGTTATCTGCCTCTTCTTACTGTACAAGAACCATGTTTATGAAATCTTCTTTTTCCTTTTTACACGCTTCAATTTGAAAGAAAGTTTGGAGATTCTCTGCTTTTCTGATGTTAAGTTTCTAGTTTTGTTCGGGCTACTCCTCAAAATTGCAAAAAAATAGTATAACCAACTAAAATGGCAGTCCTGAAACGGAGTCTATGGGGCATCCTCCTTCCTCCTAAACGTGTGTTTGACTCTATAAACTCACGCCAAACATCTCCAGCGTTTGCAGACCACCGATGCTCTCAGCAGGTCGTGCAGAGGGAGGCAGGAGAAGATCCTTAGGAGGAGTTCATCCGGAAGACGCTCCCAGGAGATGCTCGCTGATAGGGGGAAAAAGAAGCAAAGGGGGTCAAGCCCTCCATCTTTTCCTTATAGCCGATACACAGAGGACTTCTGTTTGCTGCACAAGGCTTTTCCCACCTGATGCTGACTCGCTCTTTCTGGGTCTCCTGGCCAGGACAAAATGGTTCCCTTCATTCTCTTTTCCCTTGCTCGCCACCCGCTGGTACTTGGGTCGTGGGGACCACTGCTGGGTTAGCTCTGTCGGGGTGCACTCGGACTCCAGGCCCTGGCTGAGACCACCTCTGGACTTGCGTTTGTGGACTGTGTTTTGCTGGGACAACATGGAGCCCTGGAGGCTGACGAAGGACAGCTCCTGCAGAGGCATGCTGCAAACACAGAAACAACCATTTTACTTTTTCCCTCTCAGATCCTTTGCTATGATCTCTGGGGTCTCTTTTGATCGAATCAAAACAGCACAGGGAAGGATGGATCGGCAGATTAACTCAAAAAGAAATCGCATTTCGTCTTGCCCGCCATATTGACGCAACATCGGCGTCGTGAGCGCGTAAATTTCAACCCCAACGGAACACGTTAAGACTTTGTCAGTGGTTTTTTTCCAATCCTGTGCATGCATTCGTAATAAGTTGTAATAGTTATATTACGTATTAATTATACAGCTGACATGGAAAACAGGACTTAACAGAGCTGTGTGTAGGGCATATCAGAATACTCCCTCTGCTCACACAATCACGTCTGCAACACGTTTAGTTTTTATATTTATATAAAAAAAAACAACACGACATTTATCTCCTGTGATGGATCAAAAATAAATCAGGTTAGCTGCCTAAGTTGATCATCTTACGACGGTAGAAATAACTTTATCCTGGATGGGTAAGATCTTAATCAATGAACGTGGTACTAAATCTCTCGTGCAACGGTTCATTTTTTAACTAAAAACGAAAAGTTAAAAATAAAAGGATGAATAAACATACTTATCTAGAGGCATTTCCATTGAAAAACGGGATTTGTTGAAGACACCGCCTAACAGGAGACGGTTTCTCTCCCACCAACACGCTTTAAACCCGCCGCGCGGCGCTAGAACGGCGTCATGACGTTTCGGTCACGTGGTACGCGCTGCGTCATACGTTTCCGGCGACGCTCTTCGACGTTTGCGCGAAACTTGGTTTTCCCGAAATGATCTTTTGCGCGCAAAAACTACGGACAGGCGGGTTCTACACTTCACACACACCCTGTAATCCATTTGTCAGATCCTAAACTCTCTGGATTACACACTGTGTGGTCATTTCGTCTACAAAATGACAACACGAAATAATTAATTTTAGATTTTTTTCATTTACTTTAGGTTACATTTATACTATTAACAGCTTTTACATTAGGTTATGTTTACTTCTGATCCAATAGTATCAGCCAAAGTAAAATTAAACGTTTTTTTAAAAACACATTTTTACACATTTTCGTGTAAGAAAAGATTATTTTCCCAAATCACGTTTCTCATTCTAAGATATAATACAATTCTAGATAAATAAAATCGATTTCTATCTTTTAATCTAGCTTTTAAGCATCAATTTAAACAAATGTGCTTTGCTTCTGAAAATCCACTCTATCAGAAGTATTGTGAAGTGACATCATTTCTTCAACTCTTCATAAACAGCTATTTCTGTGAGTTTTAAGGTATTTGGACCATATCTGCCTAAATATTTCAGGATCACTTTCTCACTCTAAAATAATCTGTTTCCCTAATAAAACAACACAAATTACATCTGATGAGTGTTTCATATGTGGCATTCCTGTCATGATGGACAATAACCCCTGAAGGCATTTATTTTTTACATATTCTGACTCATTTTTGTGTTAAAAATTTTTTTTTCTAATTTTATTCGTCTTTATGGATTAAAAAGTAATACTGTCATAAAAATGAAAGCTTGATGAATAGATCAGAATTCCCCTTGTTGTTGTAAATCATGTTTTTCAGTCTAAAATAATACATTTCTAGATAAATAAAACAGATTTCTAGTTTTTTATCTAACTTTTAAGCATCACTTTCAATAAATGTCTATGCTCCCCTCAGCAGGTTTATTTTGAAGTGACACAAGGTATTTGTTCCATCCCTGCCAAAGTTACCCAGGGTTACAGAATATGTCAGGCTCACTTTCTCACTCTCAAATTAACTCCATTTTGAAGATAAAGTCACCAAACATTTCATATTTGGGTCATTTTCCCACTCCCAATACACAACCCCCTCCTCCAAAGTTAATTGGGGGGATTGATTATCTCAGTGTAGCTTTCTCACTGAAATACTCAACATTTGCAAGAATAACATGAACTTTTGTTTTCGTCAGCCTTTTAAATCAGAATCAATTAACATGCTTAAAGTTATCAAATAGTTGGTTCTTTTGGCACACAAAAACTGGAAACTAACAAAACAGGTTTAACAGGTTTAATCTAAACCTGTGGTTCCCTCTCAAAAAACAACAAAGACCCTTATTTCAAAACCAAGAAGTCTGCTAAAGACAAGACACTGACCCCCACAAAATATAAGAGGGCACATAATTTTAAAGATGTACAAACTCTGAACAGATAAGACATATCTCATAAGATAATTAGAGGGATAACATCTCTGGATCATGTTGCAGACTAAGAAAGATAATGATCCCGTTCACCTTAGACACCAGTTTCAAGTAGTTCATAACAGCTTTATATGTAAGATTAGACAATCTGCAGAAATAGGAGAAATAATCCCCATTCGAAACATACCTGTTGATATGTATTTATTCAGATTAAAATCACAAAATATAAAGGCAAACAGTCATGTCAAAACACAGACCTGTGGAAACGTCTGAAATTACTGCATTAAAAAATGCCATTGAAATAATTTCATGAGTGAAAACTGGATTTAGCAGGTACATTTCCACATTTGGAGGCAGGTTTCCATATTTTCCCAAGTAACAACTCTTTCAAATATCTTTTTATGTGCAGTTGCAGTCAATTTTTTTCTTAGGTTTATATATAAATACTTTTTTTTCTGATTTTCACAATGTTATTGCTTTTGCTATAACACAAGCTCTAATGTCATACATTTCTAGTTCTTCTGACTTACCTGCCGTCAACTAATGTTTTCCTTGCAAAAGACTGACAAGAATGATAAAAACTCCAACAGAATTATATAAATTCTACTATTATTCAATTACTTATATTGTTAAAACATGAAGAACTTGTAGGACACACTACATGAATAAAAATGTCAAATTTTGTTACTATTTCGAGTGTTTCCACAGGGCTGTCCACAGTCATAAACCAAAATGTTTTAGAAATTATTGTCAAGATATGCTGTTAAGGATCAGAATCACCACAAGTTTCCATGTTAAATTGAATTACTGTTTTTATGGGAATATCACAGTGTATTTTACAGTTCATTGCAATAATCAGTGTCCTGCACTGATTAAAACGATTATAACAAGTAAAAAGGTACAAATATAACAAACAAATATATTTTCCATACTGAAATAAATTTCCAAAACCAGTCACTGCTCTCACTTGGGATGAGGAACTATTTTTCAGTGTCATTGGGCCATATTGCTTTCAACTGTCTGAAAAGAAATGACACCATATTAACCAAATAGTCCCCAGAAGCCCACAAAAAAAGCAGTGACGCTTTTCACTAAATCATTTAAAAGTTGATAACATAAGGAAAGGCAAACATTTACAACTGTAATGTGCAAATAGTGTGTGTAACTGACACTGTTGGAGTTATATAACTGTCAAAAGTTTCATAAATGTTGAGCACAGAATTCTGCTCTCATACACGTGAGTCTGATAAATTGTGTGGGTTAGAATTGTTTCTGTGTGAACTGTGTGAATACGACTCTAATGTCAACGAATGTGAAGCTTTAACCTGCTCCCAATTCAATACACAAAATGCCATGCAGGACGTAGTTTTGATCCCAAGTTAATGCAGCCAGTTTATGTCTAACACAGTCTATTAAATTATACCATATATCAAATCCTCATTTTAAAATGACCGGGCCTGTCAGGTAACATAGCAAAACATTTCTTATTCTTTTGTGTTTCCACGCGTTCATTTTTAAGTGCACATAATCATGCAGGATATTCAGCCCACTGGTTTGTTTTCATCAGCGTGGACACACTCTTTGGAGAATTATATTGAAATTCTTGTGACAATTGAAATTAACATGACAAAGTACTCCAATAGTAAAAAAAAATCGAATAAATTGTGGAAACACAGCTTTGTGACTTCACCTGTGATGCTACACCCGAGCTGTGAGCTCCACCAAACACAAAATGTTTCAAACAATGCAGGCTAAGATGGTCTGAAGTCACCAAACCTTTGCGTCCCATGTTTATTTAATTGTCCTATGTTACTTGGCTACTCTGTCGTATTGATATGAATTATGATAATAATTTCAAAGTTATCTACAAACACAAATCTTTTGACAGTTATCTAATTCCATAACTGGAGCCCATCCCAGCCATCACAGTCAATTTGAAATAATCAATCAATTGCCCTAACATGGATGTTTTTGGACGGCCGGTGGAAGCCGGAATACCCAGAGAGACAAGGATACAAGGTGAGAACATGCAAAGGCCAATCAGAATGGAACCTGGAGCCCTGATGATGCGTGGTGATGGTGCTAACCACCTAGCTACCATTAGGCCCCTGCTTGAACAATGGCATATACAATCAGTCAAAGGCAAATCTCCCAGGGTCGCTGTTTAAATTGTACATAAAAACAAGTTTCCGCTGATTTCCAAATCTGGATGGGTCCCCAGTCCATCAAAGGGTCACACAGAGACTCACAACCATGCATGCCTGCACCTAGAGAAAATTTAAAGTCACATCTTAAGCTGATATGTATGTTTATTTGAGAGGCGGAAGAGAGAACCCAGAGAGAACACAAACACAGGAAGAACCTGCAAATTTCACGCAGAAAGGCCCTTAAAGGATTCAAATAAGGAACCCCCATGTTGTGAGGCACTGGTATAAGTCATATAACACCATGTGTGCACTACTCCGGGTAGAATTAAAAATCGGTTTCCCCTGTTACTAGATATGCAATTTTTTTAAAAATTACTCACCTTTTAATGTTTGATTTGTGACCACATGCTAGCATTTTTGCAAGATTTAGTCAATCTGGACCATATAATTGTATATGTGCTTATGTTGAGCAATGAACGAACTGCTCTGCAGAGTAAATGTGAATGGACAAACGTATTTCTACAAAGACGGCAAGCAGCCAAAGAAGTCCATGCCGATTCTGCGGGGATAACCCTCCAGCACCTTCAGCGTCACAGGATCAAACTTCCAGTAGTACAGCCCACTCATAAAATTGGCATAGCCTGTGAGAGGGTGATAGATGGAAAAAGTCAACAGTGAATCGGTGAAACAATTCTCCGAATCAGAAGGCAGTTACAAAGTAAAAGGAGGAGAAAAGTAACATTAAACACATCCTTCCTCACCGTATCCATCCCAAAAGGCCGCGTCAATGTGACTGGGCATCCCAACCCAGTCGTGCATGCTGCGAGGATGGACATCATTAACGCGATTCTCTCGAGTATTGAATGACCAGAAGGAATAGGACTTGAAGAGGTAGACGCTCTCCACGTGGTTTTCTTCCCATTTTAAAGCCGCTTCGATATCATTTACAGGAAGACCAAGCATCTGTACTGACTCTGGTCCTGTTATCCTCCTCTCAGCGTCATACACCCAGTACCTGTCGCCTGCCACAAGAAATAAAAAGTCAAACGAAAAGTGTAGATGTCATTTACTGAATAACGGGAAAAAAGCAGAACACATTTTCGCACTTTAAAGCACCGATCCAAAAGGAAATAGAGTGAATTTTTAAAATGATTTTTGATCTGAAGACTTTATTTTGGCCCTTTAAGAAAATATGAAAAAGAAATACTGAAAAAATGTTTTATTATCTATCATTTATTACTTTGTGATAAGTCAAAATTATTGTCATGTACTCTTCTGTCCCCTGTTATCAGGTATAGCTGATTGTGTACAACAGTGTTTTAAGCCAAGTTTTTACCATTGAATGATGCAAAAAGATCTCAGATGCAAAAGATTTCAGAAATCGTATGTATCAAATATGATACACATGGTATAATAGGGTTAAAATATTACATTTGCATTTACTCAATTACAACATGCTTTTCACCCAAATGACTTACAGGTGCACTATAGAATAAAAAAAAAAAACATAAATCCCTGCTGGCTGTCGTTACTTGAACATGTTTACCCGTGTTTCCATCTTCAAATCAACTTCAATGCAACACAATTTGCCTGTTTTAAAAACATGGTGCAACTTAGGTGCAAAAGTCCTGTTTTAAAAGGCACGAGCAGAATCATTTTTAATTATTAAAAAGAAACATCAGTACTAGTTCTTAATAATTCATTTTTGGACAGACGCTTTCTCACAGAGTGAATATGTGGCACAAGCACAACCTTGCATGGGATTTTCAAAGATTTCAAAATTTGTGCAGAACTAAAGTTTTTAGCATAATGTATAAAACGATTCTTAATCTGTTGCTACATAACCTAATGACCCATTTTAGGTCAAAAGTGTAAAAACTGGTGAAATATCTTCCATATTCAACTGTGACTGAAACATTAAGGAGTTTTATAAACAGCTGTATTCTGTTTTTTCTTTACATTTAACACAGATTTTCCCCAAAACAGGGGTCATGGTTGTTGCTTTATATTCATACAAATCCTATATATTCCATATCAAATTATCTTGTTGGTTACTTCCAATTTGCTCGTTAATCTATTTACTGTCCTATACTGATATAATTTAGCTGATTTTCAAAAGCTCAAGATTTCTCCTTGTGATAATTATATCCACAAAAATCTGTATGATATCTTTGTCTCAACATTTGTTTAATATGTATGGCTTTGTGTTTTATAAATTAAAAGATCAGCTTCAACTGTATGACCACTGAATATTAAGAAATGCCCTCTTAGTGTATGGAAAAACACTTCTGGAGTCATTCTATTTAGGGGTATCTGGCACAAGAATATTAATAACTTTACAACAACTTTGATTACCAAGTGGGGATTTTCTTCCAAAGATGCAACCAAACCTCATCAACTTTATATGTGAACAATTTGGAGGCCATTTTCATTTAAACCTTCCTAAGCACTCATACTGCATACAGGTGAGTGTTGTAATGGTCTACAAAAATGTTTAGGTTGGAGACTCTTAAACTAAAATGCACATTGCAATGTTACAAAATGCATCATTTTGTCACCTGTCAGTACGTTAATGGAAAGGATCCAGTACTTGACGCAATATTGCCAAAATGTTCATTTGTAGATATTCGTTATGTTATCTTGTATTATGTAAATTGTATAATTATTTGAAAAAACGCTGGTGAACCATGTGCACTCAGGGCTTATATAATGTTCAATCAAAATTCCTTGGATTTTGGCAGTGTCCAGTAGGATGAGAGGTGCCTGCTCAGGTCAGTGAAGCTGGCCGCTAATAGCAAACAGATCTCTTAATGAAGAAAATATTAGGAAAAATAAAAAGGAAGAAAAATATCGCTCTGAACCATCTCACAGGAATTTTGACAAAATGACTCTGGTTTGTTTCCGTACCTTGGAAGAACCAGATGTTGCCAGACTTGTCCTCGTAGGCTGCATCCACATAATCAGGGAAACCTCTCCAGTGGCGCGACGACAAGGCCGGATAGCCGGCTTGCAGCTGTCCATCACGGATACGCCAAACGTATCGAGACTTAAAGAAGAACAGCTCTCCCCTGATCATGGATACAGCATCGAAATCTGTTCTGCAGGCATCCGGCTTGGATATATCAACAAAGAAAAAACATCTTTTTTTAATCTACGGATTCATACACAAACTTAAAAACTAACCCACAGGTGAAAATTTCAAATACACAGCATCTAACTTCAGAGTTACCGATTCACCTGTTCAATACTGATCTCATTAGTCTCTGTAATCTCAGGCCGTATGTGTCGTGGGGGTCCGTATAAATACTGAATGCCCCTTTTGTCATCGTCACTCAGCTGCAGAGGGTATGATTCACTGTAGAAAGGACTCATCACAGAATCCGGCTCAAGGGAGTGCTGAAGGCCCAAAACGTGACCAAACTCATGTGCTGCCACGTGGAGAAGGTCAGTACCTAAACAATGTTGAAAGACAGGGACGCTTTAATGAAAATACGACTCTGTGAAGGAGTCAAAGCTCAATCGTGTTAAAGAACTTGATACACACTGACCGACATTGTTGCCCTCTGTCCAGTGCTCGTCGTAATCAAAATGGACCTCTCCCTCTCTCTGCGTACGGGGAAAAAAAGCATGGGCGAGTATTCCTCCCGGTCCATCAAACGGTAAGTTGTCTCCATGCCAGTACCTATACAAGCAAACAGTAGCCCACTTAATAAACATATGAAAAATTAAAGTATATCTACAAGCTTGGCGTATCAAAATTTGTGTGGTTGTAATGGATTTGTCAACAGGGGGTGCTGGAACATTGTGTGACTCTGTGCCATTTGCAGCATTACATTACACATCTAGCATTTAGTAACTTCTCATGAATAAATTGTTCAATACACCATAACATTTCTTCTTCTTGGTCACATTTAGAACAAAAAACAGAGTAATAAGGCTTAAATTCTGGAGACTATTTATTTGTCTAAAAGGAGTTCTTGTCTCCTCCATCACCCAAAAGTCAATCAATAATCAGATTCATGCAATATAATTGTTTCCTTAGAATTAATTAGTTGTATTGGAATAAAGTCATAATTAATAGTCTCGTAAGAACTAGAAGCATTACAATGAATTTGGCTGTTGAAGTAAATTCACTTACAATATATTCAACTTGATTATTCTTGTTCTTTATCAGTTTATTCACATAAGGTACACTTGTGGCTGACATGTGTTAATTGGTTTTGTATGAAAAGACCAAATTCATATGAAATTAACATGAACAATTTCCTTACGGGGGATTTATTAAGAGCATAAACATAAACACACACTGCATGGCATTCACAGAATTTGCAGCCAAAACCTGATCACTGTTTGGCAGGGAACCGTTCCCCCCATAACAAATTACTTGAGCATAGAACTCAGCATAAAAAGGAGCACCTATGAGGAGAAGAGTCTTTCTGAAGTCAAGATCTGCAGAAATGTAAAAATCTGCAAAAAACTACAAATTCTGAGTAAATGATAATGTTTCTCAACATAAATCTGCAAACATTTTTAATATTCTTTTATTTTAACAACATTGTATCATCAAAATATTTCACAAATCTTGAGACATCTGTGCTCTATGAAGATGTCGAAAATCAATATTGGATGTGGGATATTTAACTGTAGTTTGAAGGTATTTTGTGAGAAAGGAAGGCCATGTGAACATCGAGCCAACATCGAGAACTCTTCTCTTGGCACAAGCTCATTTACTGTTTGTCTCCTGCGCACCACAATTCTTTTTGATATATTTGTAAAAATACTTTTAAATTGTTAAGAATTTATTACATTATCAATTAAAACAATTGACTGTGTCTGCTCAGTGATATGTTGTTCTATTGAGTTGCTTTCTTTTACAATTTGTAAAAAACAACAACTTTATGATGAATTCTTATTTAAATTTTTACTTACAAAATATATCCCAAGCGTCACAAGTTACGTCAAATTGGGGTTTTTGTCCTGTCTCCATGGTTGTCTTGTCATTTCCTGTTTTATTTTGATAAGGCAGATGGAACTCTAGGTGAACACAAATTGTGTTCACCTAGAGTTCCTTTCCCTTTATGTGTTAAATAGTTTGCGTTCCCCTTGTTTTGTGCCACTATGTTTTGTCCTATCAATCTTGATACTGTGCTGAATCTTGCCATAGAATTCCTTATCTTGAATCTCCATGTTTCCCTTGTAAGAGTGATTATTATTTTGCACTTTCATAGTTTTTCATCCTCGATTAGAGTGAGTATTATTTTGTACTTTATTCCCCTTTTTTCATCCTCGCTTGTAGGGGTTATTGTTTTGTACTTTCCTAGCCTTACTGTCATCATTTGAGTGATCATTTCTTTATTCTTTCTTTGTTTTGTTATTCCTCGTAAGAGAGACTATTATTTTTGTCGTCTTGCGATTCTATTTTTCTTGTGCTTCAAGTCTTTTTGGAGTTTTATTATTTTGTATTTGGTTTCTATGTTCTTAGAATTACTCAACTGATGATTTCTTCGAACTCATTGGAACCCTATCTGTATCTATTTTTGTTGTCAGAAAATGGAGTTTCCAATTTTTTAAAGAATTACACAGTTGGCCAAAGTGCTGTACTTACCCACAATACCTGTACCCAGACCATCCCTGTCACAACTTAACAATAATGGTTAATGGATTCTAGGTCTTAAGAAGACCCCCTTAATATCAAAACACAACATGCCCTCCTCTTCCTCCCCTCCAGCTACTCTGTCTCAACCAGTCAATTGAATAGTCATGTTAAAAGAACTAGAACCAGAACCAGAACAACACCATCGTCAAGTTAGAGGGGACTATCCAGAGCAGTTTAGTCGGATGCTTCAGCACCTCTCTAAGTTTCTGTGCTATATAGGACATTTAACCTTGGAAACAATCAACTTTTCCATTAACTGATTATGGTAGATTTTCTGAGAACCAGCGAAAAGCCAGACCTGCTTCGACATGGAAGCATTGTAATGTACATACCAAGGGTACTTCGTAAAAATGTAGCTGGGGGGCCTGTTACAAATCTTGCGAAACAAGTCTCAAATTGAAATAATAGTTACAATGGAGTGGCTGATTATGCAATATCTGCTGCACAACAGTCTCTGCACAGAGTCTCTGCATTAGCCACATTAATTGTGAATAATGCAAATAATAACTATAGAATTGGCTTTATGTTCTAATGATGGATTTTCAGTCAAATCTACATAGGTTCAAATGCAATTTTACAATGGTTTCTGTTCACAGAGGGAATCTAAATGACAGCAAATTAAACATGTTTTTTATATTAGAATAAATTAATCTATATTTAGCATAGTATTTCGACCAACTCATCCGGTTTTTAGCAACAGTCAAGCAAATGTCAGGATATATCCTAGACATCTCATAACCAGCACAAAGATAAACAACCAGAACACTAAAATTTCCTTTATAGGTGAATTTAGAACCACCAATTAACTTTAAATGTTTTGTTTTTTGGATGGGCTGTGGGAGGAACCTGGTGTACACAGATAAAACCCACATATACACAATAAGAGCATGCAAACAGGTTGATATTTTCACCCCGTAACTTTGCAGTACCACCTTGGAGAGGTGGTGCAAGGTGGCCGTTTTAAAGAATAATGATTTCACATGAACAATAACAAATCAGACACTTAAAATTCTTTGTCTTTTTTAAAGACCTATTACAATGTGGCTGCCATTCCTTCTGATATTGCATCAACTCATGACACCTGGTGCCATTTGTATTAATGCGAAGCACTCAAGGTTCCAATTTTTAATCGGGTTGAGGTCTGGATCTTAACAGAGCTCCTAATATATTGTGATTGTTCATTATAGTAAATATCAATAGCTTTACTTCTTGCTTTATTTGGCCAAAGGACATTAACTAAGAAAATAAAAGAGGACATTTATAACTGAAAACCATTAATTAATTTTTTTTTTTTAATTCCACTTCATACTTTATTTTTTCACATTTATCATGTACTGAGGGAAAACAAAGATTTGATGGGACACACAGGTGTTTTTTTCTCTCGTTTCTGTTCTTTTCTGCTATTTGTCTTAGCGTTACAAAATCTGAATTGGTGTAGTATTGCTTGAAAACAGTCCTATTACTTTCCAGGCTGATGGCAACGCAATCAGGTCTGATGCTTCCCCCCTTGACAATGTGTAACCGTGTGTCTTAATGCTCCATATCAGCAAACTACCTAAACCTTGACATTTATGGAAGTGGTCACCATTGCCTTTATTCAATTAGCATCTTGCTACTTCTTAATTCTAAATAAATTATTATTCATATTCCAGGTATTCAAATGAATCAATTTGTACATGCTGCATCTGCATTTTGGTTTGAATGCCAATTGGATTATTTTGCTAAACAAAAAAGGAAAAAAGGAACGACTAACTATGCACCATTTCTTGGGTTTTTTGGGCCTATGTTTGCCTGATAGTACATTTTTTAATATTTTTTAACCTCAAAGTGTATAGAACACGAAAATTAAAGTTGAGTGCTTTTTCTTTCTATGTTGCTTTAGTGAAGCAATCAGCAAGCATTTTTGTGACAGTTTTCCAATGTGATTAAACAAGGGGAGAGCAATTTACCTGATTGGTCTGAGTAACGGAAGAAATTACCTTTATTCTTCATGTTTTGACGTTAGATCTTTGAAAAATATCATTTCAACTGACACTCCTCTTCCATGTATATCATAATGTCAGATTAGTCCAAATGCATCGTGTGCCTTTTGCTGGTGACTGGGTCTTACCTGTTGAAGTCAATTATGATATCAGCTTTCTCATCTGAGACCTCTCTGAACCTCAAAGGAGTCACTGCGCTCCATGTTGCGAATGCCTCCTGCAAGATGCGCTTTACTTTATCTTCCCTCATTTGCCAGGGGAAATGCATGATCCTGGTGGACAAAAACAAACAGGCACACACACAACACTTTAAATGTTGAACTGAGAAACAAATCTGAGAGAGAACTATGTTTCCAAGAATACAATGAAATATAGTCCTGCTGATAAGGACTCGCAGAGGAATCCAATGTACAAAATCAGTTTATTACATGAAGATGGAAGTACACGCAAAGTTCCACGATCCAAAAGGGGTAATCCAAAAAATAAGGCAAAGGTTCCCCTGACCTCTACCCTTTTCTGGTGCGGGACCTCGGATTTGGAGGCGCTGATGAGTATCCGTCGCTTTGCACTCGGCTGTGAACCGCTCCAGTGAGAGCTTTAGATCATGGTTTAACTAAGCCAATAGGACCACATTATCAGCAAAAAGCAGAGATGGGATCCTAAGGCCACCAAGATGGACACATTCAACCCTGAGGGCTGCACCTACAAAGAAATTCTGACCATGAATGTTATGAACAGAATCAGTGACAAAGGGCAAACTGGTTGGAGTCCAACTCTCGAGTCCAACTCACCACCGGCAATGTGACCCAAGGTCTGGCAACCAGGGACTGAGCAGCCCGCCGTAAATCCAAGAAGAGGAATATGACAACAACAAAGTTCGGAGATGGTGGAATGACCTACCAAGTGCTACAAGAACAGCAGAGTCCCTGTCTGTCTTCAAGAAACTCTTGAAGACCCCCCTCTTCAAAGATCATCTCCTATCCTAACCCTAACCCGTACCTCTACCCCCCCACAGCTCCTTCTGTAGTCCCTCTACCTCTATTTCTTGCTGTCACCACTGACTCTGATCAGTGTTTCTCCGCTGTATAACTTATTGTCACAGTGATGATAAATGTAATATTGTGTCTCCTCTGTAAGTCGCTTTGGATAAAAGCGTCTGCTAAATGCAGAAACATTAACAAAGGAGAGGCATGCCCCCACTTGGGGTTTGTGTGCAACAGTGTAGAATAGAAGAGACATTCTGTAGTTCAAACATTCCTTCAGACTACTCATAACGCAACAAGAGTCTTCCTCATTTCATGGAAAACTGAGCAGTGAAATGTCTTTCATTTCTGAATATTCTAACATTGCACCTAGGAGTGAATGTGAGAGCAACCCTTGATAACCAGGAACCTTTGATACCTTGGTAGGCATTCAGGTCTGTACAGTGGATGCACGTGGCTTCATTACATACTTTGAGATTCAGAAAATCAGAAGTCTTCAGGTACATTTATTCATCGCTTGTTTTTGTTAGTTTATTTGTTTTTTGGGGGGGCTAACACCCCTTAAGAATAAATTTTTCACTGAGTGTGTGGTTTCTGTACTTGGATCAGGAGTTGTTTACTAATCTTAGTCTGGGATTCCCCAGTTAAAATTTAGCTTTTGTATGGCAGTAACGACCAGTTCCAGAACTTAAGGGGAAAAAAAGCTATTACTGTGGGTACGCCGATAACCTTTTAAGCCTAATATGAGCAATGAATAGGGTCTCCTTATGTTGCTTCAATGTCTTCTGTTTATTTTTCTACTCCATGAGTCATTTGTATTTTCTAAGAAGCTGCGGTTTCATTCTTTGAAAATGCTAGACAGCTGTTCACGATAAAACTTCACATTCCAATGATCATTTCTGATCATTTAAGTTTTCCACAGACCTTACATTTAGGCTTTTATTACTACCTTATTTCTGCAAATGTTCAAACGTCCATCGGAGCTTTAACGGTGGTTCTTTGGAGTCTGTGTTCTTTGCCCTGTCCAGTATATTATACCTCATACCCCTCCATAGCCCTCCATATTCCTCCTCATATCCACAACCAGCATATTCCCCTTTCCCACATTGAGCTGCAGATGGGCTTGCTTTTACGCCATGTGACAAAGGCCGGCCAAAGGCAGGCCTGTACTCATCCTCGTCACCTCTGCTGACACATCCAATTATGGTAGAGTCATCAGAGAGAGTATGGCGGGCTTCTTTGCTAGTAGTAGAAAGGAGAGTGGACAGTTCCCCGTGTCACACAATCTCCATCTGATCATCAACAGTATAAATGCCTAAATACATGAACCAACTTCGCAATCCAACACAAAGTTTTAGTCAGTACATAGCTGCTGAAATGTCGTTCATTGTCGTACTGGGCTTGTTTTACACACAAATGATGTCACAGGTTGTCGCCCTTCTTTCTTTTAGGCTCTGATTTCCATTGGAAAACAAGCTAAATACGGGGCTGAGTAGGTACTGATGGAAAACCCCATAAGAGCAAAGCTCATCTACAGTAGGGCAGATAACTGGGCAAAAACACAAGCCGGCTCCACAGCTCATGCAGCTTCAATGGAGGGTGAGTAGAGGTGAAATGTAATTTTCTCAACTAGCATCAGTCAGGCATATTGCTACTTGTATGATATTTGTGTTTGGTGCCGCTTTGTTTAGGGAAACATTGCTGTTTTTCAAACTGGAAAGTATCGCCACTTTGTATTAGTAACAGCCATAAAAATGTATTTCTAGTATTTCTAATGTATTTCACCCGTTCAGTGGACTTTTTAGCTTAGTACCCAATTGATTAGTTGTCACAAGGCTTCTGAGAGATCCAAGAAGACTTTTTTGTATGATGACGGCCATTACTGTACTGCATGTAAAGTCAGGCCCATCCTGACATAGATCTGAATCACAATCAGAAATACTTTAGTAATCCCAGAGGGAAATTATTTAATGATGTTTATTTTAATTATTTAGATGTCACAAGTCTCGGCCACTCAGGGTTGGCATAATGGTCTATAACCCCCTGAAGGCGACATTCCCCATAGTGAGACATGAAACGAATGCTATGAAAGAAAACTTAGAGAAGAATTTCATTCCATTCCCTTACACACGCTGGACACAGCAATCAACCAGTCATATTTGCTCTTAATCAGTTTGCCGGACCATGGCCCTACGCACAGAGCGAATTGGGAACAACAAAAAGGTACTTTTAACCTGCAGGAAAAAGAGGTACGGTCAGTGCAGGTTAATTGTCCATAGGATGGCAGAATGGCGGCCTAACTTAAAGCGTCGTTCAAGTCAACTTTTTTTCATTTCGCAACATATATCACAGGGTTACAAAAGACTGCAATGGAAGTTTTTTCCAATGTTTTGCACTCCTAGTTCTGATAAAGAGCTATTTCACTGCTATGGGACTTTAAATGCCTTCATAAAGAAAGAGGAGAAACTCACCAAATGTTCAAAAGTTCAAGTCAAGAAATAATCAGTTCCATACATTACATCATGTTTACATGGATGTGCTGATCACAGTGACAGAAGCAAACTTTTTGCATTTGTAACATAATGGAAATGATGAAATGGCAGATTACCAGTGTGCCATACTGGTAATCTGCCACAGTGATTGCCAGTTGCACAGCCAGAAACGTGACATTAGAGACACCAGCGATCACAGTTAAATGCATAGGCCACAGGAGGCAATTTAGAATCCTATTTCAAATTGCTTGCTAAGGATAAATGTAAATGAAGTAAGACTGTTATCCACACTGGGTGTATTGTCACACAGACACAGCAGTCGAGGGGATGACAACATAAGTGTGGCAAATGTCTCTGCAGCTTTCCGCCTGCTGCTACTCCCTATCCCAATAATGAACAAATTCAGAAAATCTAGAAAAATGCAACAAATACACATTAACTCAACAAAAACACACCTATTAAATTTGGCTAGCTAAATTTGAAATCAGATAAATTCCCATTTATCTGTTTGTGAATAACTTGATAATGAATAATAATTACACTGATTGTTACGTGATAATTAGTTTAAATTAAATCATTCATGTTGATATATTTTGCCTTCGGGAAAACTTGCTGAATAAGGAGGATGAATTAATTAACTCCCTCTATAATTACTTTAATGTTCACATTTTTAAATCAGAGGCCGTAGTGGCGTCTTTAGATAGGAATTACACATCAGAGAACCAAGATTTAATTGCCTCATATCCCACATCAAAAGGGTTTGTGTAAAGCAAAAACATTAACAAGAAATTTTTTGAATAAGCACTACCTGAACGACCCAGCCTATTTTTCAATAAATCTCAGATCTGACTTCTGTAACAACCTGATAACGTGGGATTTTACAAGAATCAACAGCACACAATCAAAATTAATCTTAATGTGAAGGAGAGAGAAGATTTTACTAATAATAGTGAACAATTGTACAGCTGAATTAGGTGATGTGCGTACAGAACAGAATGTTTGTATGTTGTCATGATGGGTCTTAGGGGAGGACTCAGGAGTGGAGAGATTCAGGAACAGGGGTTTATTGGAATAAAAACACACTCAAAAGGAGTGGATGGGAGACATGGTTAACAAACAAGGCTGTGACAAAAACTATGATCAAAGTAGCAAAGCAAGATTAACAAAACTGTGGCAAAGTATCAAAACAAGACTATGGCAAAAGTAAAAACAAGGTTAACATGGCTGTGGCAAAAACATGGCTATGGCAATAAAGTAAATAAGACTATGGTATGGCTGTGACAAAAATCAAAACCTTACATGACGTGGGGAGACGAAAGCAGAAAGACAAAAGACGAAAACACACTGGCACAGGACATGGGAAACGAGAACTATTTAAACACATGAGGGAGGGGAACCCCAGGTGTACACAATAGGTAATCAAGACATGACGAGACACCAGACATTCCCCCAGACGTGACATATGTCTTACTTATAAGTGAGATCAGTCTTCTCCCAGCGCCCTCCAAAGAGTGCAAAACGCTTCCTGCGTTGGTTCTTATCCAGGTATTCCCTTTTACTCTTCAGCCGGTAGTGAGGCATATCCAGTTTCATTAAACGAGGATAGTCTGGGACTCCGCAGCGAGGCTGCTTCCAGACACCCGTGTGATTTTTCAGTGTCACCCCATTCTTAAAATGTTCATCTTCATTTAGTGTGACTTGTTTATGCCTCCACCTCTTCTTCAGAGCATTGTGGCTAATACTGTGAGACCATCTCTGTGAAAAAACAGAAACATATTTCATGTTATCACACACATGCAAACATATTTTTGGTGCAAAAAAATGTTGATAGTATTCTTTAGATATTAGATATTCAGATATTTCTATTAAAACAAGAAAGACTAAAAATCTTACACTTTTTCCAGGTCTGAAAAGAGCTGTATACACACTCAAATCTTAAATCAAAATACAGACTTGTGGCACATCATAATGCAAATATAGTCTGTACATGATTATGCATTTTTAAATAATAATCCCCAAAAGTTTATTTAATGAAAGGATGTCCTTGATCTGTGCTTGATCTTAATGTCCAAACAATTCATTCAATATTTCTTTCAAACTGAGAGTTGTTCAACATTCAAATTCTGCTAAAACCCATAAGCATGATACCAGATCTGTTATGAGCTGGGGCTTTGTCTAAGTTTAGGGAACTTTGTTTTTGGTTTAGTTTCTTCTTCAAGATCCCTTTAGTGTTGGTTGGTTCTAGTTAAGTTATCTCTCTGTTGGTGTCTGTCATAGTCTCAGTTTTTCCTGTGTCTCAGCCACCTTCATTCTTGTCTTTAGGCTTCTTTTAGCTTTCCTTATTCAGTTCAATTCCATTCAAGTTATATTTTTAAACAGTAAAAATATAATGATATTAATACAAATAAGTGTGGTGGTTAAAGCTTACTTCTTAGACTAGTTGCCAATGCTGGCAGTTCTTTTTATTGTATTTTTCCCAGTAACTGTTAATACTCCATGCAAAGCTTTTGCTCTCGTGTCCGGGGTTCGGTTTGTACTACTATTCTTTGTCTGGTGGAGGCAGATAGCCAACCTTTCTGGGCAACTAGGGATTTTGTCTCTTGCCACTGATGAATCATGCATGGTCACAATGGAGGATCAGATCGAAAACAATATTTGATGCAATCTGTTTGATTTCTAAAATAGGAAAAAAAATGTAAATGTATTTCTATGCATTGGAAGCACTTGGAATTTAATGAACTGGAAACTGGGATTGTGATTGTATTGCAATTAATTGGATTCTAATTGGCTTAAAATGGAATTTATTGAATTTCTTAAGTCGTTGCTGTGATTATTATATATAGATAAAATTGAATTGAATTGAATTAATGGTTGTGTGTCTGTGCTTCATTCAGTTATTTTAACTAACCAGGTTGTTATAACTCGTGTTCATTGACTGCTGATCAGGCTTCATATTCAGACTTTAAGTTTTTTTTTTAAATCCATAGATTTGTTATGAATTCATATTCATATCAAGGCATTATTAACTTTATTCGTCAGTCATTAAGCCTTTTATCATAATACTCTGATTTGTATTGCTGTATCGCATGAAATGGAGCCTGGGATTCCTAAAGTTTACTCATCCATTTTCTATAACACTTATTCCCAACAGGGTTGCAGGGGGGCTGGATCCTATCAATGGGAAACAGGCAGGGTACACCCTGGACAGGTTACCAGCCCATCACAGGGTCACACAGACACAAACAAGAACACACACTTATAGTCGCTCTTAGGAGCATTTTGGAGTGTCCAATTAGTCGAATTATCTGGTGTAACTCGGAAATCCATGCAGACAAGGAAAGAATATGCAATCTCCACACAGAAAGGTCCCCCAGGGACCTGAACTGGGAACCCTCTTGCTGTAAGACGACAGCGCTAGCCAGTACACCCTCATGCCACCTCCCGAACTTCACATTAAAGTTTAATAGGTTCCTAAATAAATGGCACGATCATTCGTTTTGTCTTCAGTGACCTATTCCAAGTAGTTATTTTGGGGTGTTTATCTCCTCTACATTTTCACAGTAGTTCTAATCAGTCATTCTGTTAATCCCAAGTTAATGTTTTGGGTCAGCTAGCAGTTCATCATTTATCAAACACTGAAAATGATCATAAGGGAAGTTGATTATTCTTTGATTAATGTTTGACAAGGACCTTTCATTTTGACATGTGTTTAACACATAGTATATCAAACCAGGGAGGCGCAGAAGCAGAGGCTTGCACCATATGCAACAGCTCAGCACGGTTTAAAGATCAAAGACATGAAGCCAACAAAGCAAGGCAGAACTCAGTCCAGCTGGAGGAAAGCATGTCATTCCAGGGCGTACTATCTCATTCTCATGAGCCAGGGGTCACTTGAGTTTGAGTAATGCTGGTTAACCACTTTATAGTCGG